GTCCTTTTGATCCTAAGACTGGAACGTGGTTTCAAGACTTGTTTCATCGCCCTGTAGGTCCTCCCAACGGGATTCGAACAGAGGACCCTCAGATTTGAGGGTAGACAAGTCACCTTTCAGCCGGATTGCGATACACGAGATTTATGACTTGATGAGTTAATCAGAACTTTGTCGTCCTTAAAAGCAGCATGATCGAAGTGATTTTTGTTCATAAGTAGTAGATTAAATAGTTGAGATGTATTCAACCTATTTCGTTTAAGGTGATAAGGGGACTGGTAGTTGAAATTTATCACAATCATTTGAGTATACATTATGTTTCTATTCATTTTCCTATAGCCTTGCTTTACCAAAACGTATTCTCATTTATACTCAAAGTGAATTTTTGAATAAAACCCTTGTCAGCTTAGGTTGCTTAATCTCATTTTAGGATTGGTAAAGGAGACTTTCTCAAAATTATATGATTAATTTCTGCAATTTTATTTGATTTCTTTTGGCTCTGTCTCTCAAAACCATGTTCGCACTCAGTCTGGTCTGCTTCATAGCCTCGTTCAGGTTTTATCGTCACTTTTAGCGGGATTTGAGCCTAGGATAGGAGATATGAAAACCAAAATGTTGTGGCCTCTGGTATGGTCGCAGTCTTCTTTCGATTTATAGAAGTGGGTTAACCTCGTTTTCGCAATTTGCTCTTGTTGTCAGGGCGATTTGGTAGAACGCACCTCGTCCGAATTCGTATGCCATAGTAGTTGACATGATTCCCAGCATCAGACTGTGGAATTGGTACATTCTCAAACGAACTCGTCAAAGAGACAAGTGAAGTCAATCCCGCGACAAAGGTTCTGCTGAAAACGGTGACACTATCACTCCTCTTTGTGTCCTTGTCTATCTATCTACTCTTTACCCTCTTAGCCCACCGCCGCCCTATCACATCTCATCATCCCCAACAGAATTAGATACCAGACTCCCAATATTTTGGCGACGATACTATTTAATATTGAACAAGCATGTATTTTTCACTTATTTTTGATTTAAGTAGTGTATTATTCAAGCATTAAAAATATTAAATATGAAGACAAAGATGTTGTGACCTCTGGTATCGTCGCAGTCTTCTTTCGATTTATAAAAGTGGGTTGATCTTGTTGTGGATTGACTTCACTTGTCTCTTTGACGAGTACCAAAGGTGTGGAGAATGGCAAAATTTACTGATGATCCCGACTACGATGCTGGCGAAACGTTTGCGATGGTACCAAGTCCACTGTCTGATGCTGGGAATCATGAAAACTAGTATGGCAAACGACTTCGGACTAGGTGCGTTCTACTATGTCGCCATGACAACAAGACCAAGTTGCGACAACAAGGTCAACCCACTTGTAGGATAGGAGGCTTAAATGCCAAAAAGGGTAACCACTTAGTTACACAAACAGAGTCCGGTCAGAGCCCAAGGACTCCAACGAATTTATAAGCCCCAACAGGTTTATAACATTATTCTTACCAAATGATTTGATTGAAAGTAAAGCATTCTAATTTAGTTTCGTTTCTTTTTCTTTTTGCAATTCGATGATTTTTCTCATCAGTTATGTCAGAATATCAAATGGAGAGATAATGTCATAACTGCCATGGGGATAACAACACTGGCTCAACAACACTTGGTCCAAAGATGTAGACTAGTGTTAGTATGAACTGGAACTTAATTATATTCATTTGAAGTAGATTTTGAAGCCATCATTATGTTTTAATTAACAAGATGAAGGACCAACAGTTTAATTTGTAAAATCGGATAGGCATCTCGGCTCTATTAAATCTCACCTAGTCTTGCTGTCCAAAAGGTATTCACAATAAGGATGAATCTTGCCTGGGACTCGGACCCATGTTGCGGTAGTGCAGCCTATAATCTCAGGATGGTACCACTACACCAGACTACTACGAGTCATCCTGGATGACAAAGCAGACACAAAGTTCAAGGAATTCTATGCCTCTTTGATATCGCATATTTATTTTGAGATTTTAGATGAAATAAATGTGGGTTGTGTCATTACAATCGACGAAGATTCTCATATTCACTTAAAGTAGGTCTCGAACCAATCCATAAATTCCGTAAAAAGAGTTTAGCTCTTATCATTCCGGCTGGACTGAACGACAGTCTCAACCTCGTCTCAGCGTTTAATTAACAAGCCCGACGGGATTCGAGCCAGCACCAGGACAGATTTAAACTTTAAGGAAAACTAGACCTTATCCAAATTGCAGTTTTTTGGTGTCATTCTCGACGAGGAACACATGCATTTGCCAATAAAATGGACGAAACTACTTAAATTCGCTGTAAGTAGGCTTCGAAACTATAAGACCGGGCTGGCCTAAAGGCATTTGGATCGCTTCTGAGGGTTGATCTCTCACTCATGAGCACAATCAGTAGAGAATTTATTAAAAAGAAGAGCGACGAAATTACCTGCATCAAAAGTTTCAGTTGCTGCAAAAACAGGTCGACTCGTGTCTCAACGGCTTGGATGAGTCGGAGCCTCAGAACGGTGAATGTTTCTGCCACTCGTTTCGCCAACTGTACCACGACCCTGCGACAACCGACTCGAACAAGACCGACTGCGCGCCTATGCGTCGACTTTGTCATCTCCTCTTCACACCTCAGAACCGGTATCTCTGCCGCACTGTCGGTGGCAGTGATTGATGCTACAGAATTGGCCATCAAAGGGGCTGCTGATTGGTTGTCTGCCAGACAGAGTTCGAAGTACAGCTCGGCTCTGCTCAGACGCTCAGCCGTTCTGGCGAGGTCGTCCAGAGCGGTCTGTGTGCGGTTAGCAGAACGATTGGAAGAGATGATTGTAAGTCGAAAAATGCAACCAACACAGAACATGTTAGCAACAGTAGAACTGAGGAAATAGTCCTAACAACAACGAACGAAGACTGTGCGATTCAGTCGACTCTGTATCTTTGAGTAATTCCTACCGTTTCCTGTACCTACCAACAGTTTGGGTTTATCTCAGTTGACTTGGAATAGTGAAAAAATGCAATTCAATGCTTTTTCTAGTCTGAATTCAAAGAGAAGCTGAATTCTCCTTTAAATTAACAAT